GTCTCCTCCCTGAGACCCTTCCGTAAGGGGTTGTCCTGTTGCCTACAGATGGGCTTTGGGTCCCCACTCAGCACTCCCCCTCATTCACAATGATATGCTTTTTTGTTCTTTGATGCCTGATACCGGACACCTCGTGATCACACAGGATGGTGTGCTTCTTCCATGTGGGCTTTGTTGCTTCTCAGTTAGATGGCTGCTTGTTTGTCTTCAAGTCTCTAAGACCCAGACACTATATATTTTGATAGCCGGGCATGAGGGCTTTCTTGATGGTAATCTTTACCAAGGCAAATTGCCAGGCCTTTCCCTCACAGCACCAGTGAGATTAGAACCACCAACCTTTAGCATCTCACTGCCCTCCAGTGAGTTCCAACTCCCAGAGGCCCTAAAGAGCAGGGTAGAACTGCCCCTGAGCATTCTGGAGGCTGCACCTCTTTACCGAAGCAGGAAACCGTATCTTTCTACCCCGGAGAGACTGGCGGTTTCCAAATGGCTGGCCTGACTGTGATCAGTCCGCTGTAAACCACTATATCACCAGGACTCCGCTTAATAGACTCAAAAAACACACTCACTGTCCTTGAGTCTGCCCTCTAGAACAGAGGAGAAAGGTCCCTGTGGTTTCTAAGACTCTAAATCTGTACAGGTCCTCATCTTCCTCTGGTCAACTGGTGGTTTCAAACTGCTAACCTGGCAGTTAGCAGCCTAGCACACAATCCACTATGCCAGCAGAGCCCCTTCTTTGGGTTAATGGCTCCATGAAAACGTTGTGCCACCCCAGGGGGTCTTACTGTTAGGACATGGGGCACAAAATCGTGGGGAGCTGGGGAAGGCAGACTGGGGTCCATGAGCACTGTGGGGAAGGAGGAGGAGAGAGGAGGGTGTTGTTCTGAGCTGATGCACCTAGTTTCTCAGCCCAAGGACTCTCTGTAATTCAACTGGGCCGGGCCCATGGGAAAACATCTTTCCTTAAAAACCTTGCCGAAAAAGCACAGCCCCAAAGATAAAGCTGGTCCAGCGCTCCGGCGTGGACAGACTTAAAGGAGTGATGGGGAAATTGAGTAAAGCCAGTGCTGCCCTGCTTCCCTGCTGAGCCGGAGACCTCTCACTGCCCTTTGACATGAGCGTGCCAGCTCCCTGGCCCTTCCCCACCTCTCCCCCACCCCACCACCTCTGCTCCTGTGTCTCCTTCTCAGTGTTGTCTGAGATCCCTCTCCTCTGCCCCAGACCCCAGCAGCTTCCCCAGACCAGCTCACCTTGCAGGGTGCTGGGGGGCAGACGCAGGTACAGAGGGTGCCCACAGGCTGCCCATAGGTCTGGAAGGGGTAGCAGCAGCAACAGCAGGGCAGCCAGCAGCATAGTAACAATGCTTGTCCTCTTCTCTCCAGACCAGAGGGGTCCACCTTCCAGTTGCTTTCCTTTGGGCTTGATCCCCTGCCTTTCTGGTCCTGGCCGCCGTCTTCTTGTTCCTCAGATCACCTGACACTGTTCTCTTACATCATAGGGGCCGCTGCCCGGGGGCCATTCCGTCATCACCTAGCCAGAATCATCAGGGAGCCAGCCCGGGTGGACGTTATATAGCCAACAGAACGGACTGGTGGTGCGTGGGACGGCAGCCAGGGAGGAGGCAGGGGACAGGAAAGTGGGCTCAGCTCTCTCACCTTTGAAGTCTCATTGTCCGGCTCTGAGCTCCCTTGTGTCAAAGGGGTCCTTGTTTCTGCGGCTGCATCAAACACGCCTAGACAGGGTGGATGAGCCAACCGTTGGGCTGGGGGCCAGGCCTAGGGGGGCAGCTGGTCCCCAGCTGCCCTGCCTCGCTGCCCATGGGGTGGGGGGGAGGTTCCGCCTACTGGGGGCAGGGGCTCCTGGGGGTCCTCAGCAGCCCCGGCCCTGAGGGGTCCCCAGCTCCCAGCCCCTTTGGCCCTAATTGCTTGTCCTTATCCTTCCCCAATGTTGCCATCTCTAGAGATGATCAAAGCACCCTAATTAGCGCCCTAATTGCTGCACTCGGCTGTGAGCTGGTGGGGTGGGAAGAAGCAAAGCCTGGGACGCTGCAGTGGACACAGAGGACAGCGGGAGATGAAAGGTCCGCAGTGGCCCACTTTGTTAGGGACAGGCCCAGCTGCCCCTGATGCCCACCCAGACCCCCTGCCCCTGCCCAGGGCCTACTTCTTTCCACCTGCGCACTATTGTTTGCGGCTGCTATGACGGGTGGGTCTGGCTGGCTGGAATCTTCTGGAGTCTCATGGGAAGGGTCCCATTGCGCAGCTCTCCAGGGGCAACATCACCACCGCAGGGGCAGAGAAGAGATGCTCTCTGCCCCCAAAACCTGCTCTGGGCCCAGGAAATACCCTGGCACCCTGACAACAGCTCTGGTGGGATCCACAAAGGACATCCTGGGCTGAGTGGGGGGGAAACATTGAACAGAACTAAAAAGCATCAAAAAGATCAGGCTTACAGGTCCGATAGAGACTGGAGGAACCCCGAGACTAGGACCCTCAGACACGCTTCAGGTGCAGACCTGAACTCTGCTGTGGAGCAATTCTTAGGCCAACATTAGGCAGGTGGACCAGGACCCCTGGTGTCTCCTGGTTACTCATCGGGCTACTAACTTCAAGGTCAGCAGTCTAAAACCACCCGCCTGCCCTAGGGAGAAAGAAGGGGTTTTGTACCCCCGTAAAGAGTTATGGTCTCTCTCGGAAACCCACAGAGGCCCTTCTACCCTGTCCTAGAGGGTCGCTGAATCGGCATCCACTCGATGCGAGGAGCGTTGTTTTTTTAGACCAGGTGAACAGTAAGTAACACAAGGGACATACGGACCATCAAGCAAAGGAAACCCAATGGGCAGCATTTGCCCCGGGAGAAAGCTCAGGAGGCATCAAGGGGTAGGAAGAAAGGAGGAATAGAAGTGGAGAACCAGGAGGGAGCTGGGAAGACTACAGTCAGTGTGGTGAACCAAGATGTTCATCAACTAGTGAATAGAAACCCAATTTGCTCTGTGAAGCTTCACCGAGATCACTCATACCTTCCCGGATTTTAAACCAGGTCATGTCCCCCTATTCTGTTTGGTTTATGGACAGGTTCCACGTGAGCACAATGGAGTGCTCTGGAATCCCCCCTTCTTCACAGTGTTGTCCCTGATTTGTTACGACCCACACAG